CAAAACAATCAAATTCCATTTAATTTTTGATGACATCTGAATGATACCTTTGATGTAAACTGAAACTTCATGTTTGCTACAGACATCATTGTGAAACACATTGTGGGTCGTTGATAACTGCGGAAAAGCCTCAGAGGGCGGTTTGTCGAAATGGATCGTAGATTTCGTAGAGGATTTCCTAACTTGAAAAAACCCCAACAAGTTGTTCACTGCTGAGATCTAAATATTAATTTGAAAACGGTAAATGGGTCCTTTAATTGTGGAAACAAAGACAGAAATTAAGTAATCTTAATTATTTTTATACATATCTAGCGCACTGTGTATTAAAATACTACGAGAGAAAGTCATTAAGTAGGTCACAAATTGGCATGATACAATTGAAAACAGCAATGACACTTTCCCTGTATATAAGTAGGTGGCAGATTCGTTCTAATTCACAATATTCATGAAAGAACATACTACAGACGCAATTTGAAAATGTCAATGGAAGTCGATGACTGTCCAAATAAGGAGCAGCGTTCTGATTTTTTTTTTTTTTTTTTGCGAGGAAAGGGAGCAAGCGTGAATGATACTCAAAGGGGATTTTTTCCGATTACAATGTAGAGACATTAGGTATTTTGGAAGCAGAAAAGATGAAAAATATACAACACCTTCGCCGGGAATCGAACCGCATACCTCTCATTTACGCGCTGAGTGTGCTGATCACTACACCACTCGCTAAGAAGGCGGGAGAAGTACTTTATAACGTAAAGAAGTGTTTGTCACATAGAAATTGGTGTTAAAATAGATGTTATTAAGTTAAATGTTAATGCAGGTAGGAGCTGGAACCTGGCATTGCGAAATATGATGATTATCAAAATCGTAAAAACAACCTTGTATTTAGCGTAGGTATAATGAAACACTCAATCGATTTCGAGGGCAGCTAAAGGTCCCTCCTCATCAGGAGAAAGAAATACCTAGAAAAAAGAAAATAAAGGAGAAGGAGTCTTTAAACACGGGGTCCTTATCAGCACTGCACGTGGTTAAAACTGGATTTTTAATCAGAGTTGCACTGGGCCTACTTTTACTGAGCCAATTCACCTGTGGAAGAAGCCTTTTGGATAATTTTTGCAGACACCAAGTCAAAATTATGGTTAAATGTCCAACTATGATACGCTATGAAGACTTGTTAATTTCGCCTTTCTGACATAAAGTTCGTGTCTTGATACGAAACTTCAACGCTCTTTGTTGGCCAATATATCTTAAACCACACTCACACGATATACTATAAATTCCCCAAGAATTCAAAACAGAAACGCATCTTTTAGAATCGAAGGGTGAATTTTATAATAGGGGAGAACCGAACTTGAAATTGAATTCTGGAGAATCGTGCATTTTTAGCTAACAGAAGGATAAAATGGCAGCACGACAAGGTCATTAATATTATTTCTAACAGTAGAATGTCTTCTTTGATGGGAATCTGAAAATTTTTTGACAGCTTTATCAATTATCACGGGAGAAAATCCACTTTCAATCGCAACTGCTCTCAAATAATTAAGTTCATTGGTAAGCAAAGATTCAGAGGAACAAACTTTAAGCGCGCGGAATGTCAGCAAGTACCAGCCGGTACTTGCTGACATTTACATGCACTATTAGATGAAATTATTTGATAAACTATTTTTTCGTCTTTGGATCGTATGTGACGACACTTTCGCACTTTTTGACGGTTTAAGAGGATTTATCCGAGATTCTATCTATTATGAATTCAATTGATCCAGCCATCAATTCACACTTGAAATTGAATCCAACAATTCCCTCCCCTTCCTGATATTTTATATCGCAATAAACAGATTTTAGCACCACTGTGTACCGTAAACCCTTTGCAGTTTGTTACACCCCATGCCAAGTCATGCCACCGTTAAGCAAAAAATGGCTTCTTTTTACTATTATGTATTCCGCACGCTTAAAGTTTGTTCCTCTGAACTTTGCTTACCAACTTAATATTTGAGAGCAGTTGCGATGACCGTGGATTTTCTCTCGGTTATATTGATAAGCTGTTAAAAAATTTTCAGATTCCCATCAAAAGACATTCCACTGTTAGAAATAATATTAATGACCTTGTCTGCCATTTTACCTTCTGTAGCTATAAAATTGCACCGAATTCTCCAGAAATTCAATTTCAAGTCGGTTTTCCCCTATTAATAAAATTCACCTTCGATTCTAAAAGATTGCGTTTCTGTCTGAATTCTTGGGAATTTATAGTATACGTGTGAGTGTGGTTTAAGATATATTGGCCAAACCAAAAGAGCGTTGAAGTTTCGTATCAAGAACATGAATCTTATGTCAGAAAAGGCGAAATTAACAAGTCTTCAATAGCGTATCATAGTTGGACATTAAACCTAATTTTTGACTTTTGGAGCAAAAGTTAGCAAAAATTATCCAAAAGGCTTCTTCCATGTGAATTGGATTTTCTTGAGTCTTTCACATCACAAGATTTAGCAGGTTAGTTAATTATTTGAAGTCCACAATCCAGTCCTTCTAATGCCTTTAAATTCTACTATCTGATTTCAGTTATTTTGCCGAGATGGCGTACTCCTCGCGTTTGGTACTACCAGGGTATAAAAATCCGTTCAGGCTTGCTTTCCATTATTGGAAGTTCAGATTTTGAGCGTGAAGGTGCATTTTGCCCCTCGCTCCCCTATTAACTTCGATAATTTTTCTTGTCCTTTATGCTTGATCAGATGCCTGGCTCAGTTAAAAGCGGCCAGTGCAACTCTGATTAAAAATCCAGTTTTTAACCACGTGCAGTTGATAAGGACCACGTGTTTCTAAGACTCCTTCTCCTTTATTTTCTTCTTTCTAGGTATTTCTTTCTCCTGATGAGGAGGAGCCTTTAGCTGCCCTCGAAATCGATTGAGTGTTTCATTATACCTACGCTAAAAGAAGGTTGTTTTTACGATTTTGATTGTCACATTAGCGTGTTTCTCTTCTAGTCTCTGATGATTATCTCCTTAGCATAGACAATGAGTTGAATAAGTGCAGAATTTGCTTGAAAGGGCGAAATCTTGACTATTGTTGCATTGATGAATTCTGAAGTGCTCGGTAATTCAGATAGTTTTGCCAACCTCTTGCAATTGTTTTCATTTTAATAGGAAGTTCAAAAATCTTAGAGGAACATTGAGTTACCCCCTTTGTTTCAGATTTTGATCTTTCTGAAAGTTTGAAAAGTGGGGTGAAAAAGTGGTTGAATGAGTCTATTATCGAAGATATTGAGACAGAAATGTCTTTATTCATGTAATGGGTTGGAACATAGGGAAAATTACATCTAAGGAGTCTGGGTTAAGAGATTGGTAGACGTATTTGTCGCGTAAAGCCATATGCAACTGGAATGAGAAATTTCCTCGAGTCCTCTCCAGAATTTGGGAGGAAAACAAACTGGCGTACTTTTCATATTGATAACGGACTCAAAACACTGCAAATGTTTGAGCAACTGAATCAAGAAACATGCTGCACACTATTACAAACCACGCCTAAAACCATCTGCGAGGTCAATCTGGCAGTCCTTAAAGTTTCCCACCGGAAATCGCTTTAACAGAAGAACAAGAAATTCTGTTAAAAACTTGCCTTTCTAACGTTTTTCCCCCAGTATTTTTTTAGACAATGACTTTAGCAAAATTTTGTTAAATAAATTACTATTATTAAAAATCTGTTAACGCTAGAATTATGAAAGTGATCTCAAATTAAAGAGCTAATTTTTCTGCTTCTATTGATATTAATTATTAATGGTTAAATTTAAATTAAGACACAAAAATTCTAGTTTATTACGTGTAAATTTACCCGATTCCATTGTGTGAATAGCGCGTCTGTAAGCAATGATTAAATGGAGCTTGCTAAAATCTTTCGTACTAAGTTTCTGATAAATAATTAAACCAAACAGTAAAAATATTAATTGAAAATACACGTTGTGTAGCATAAATTTAGAATAATTAATAAATTAAATTTTGATAAGTTATAATTAAAATAATTAAATGAATTTGCTACACAACACAGGCCTCTGTTTAGGAACCATACTCTCTCAACATACTCTATACTTAACATACAATCACCCATAAATTTAAACATGCATTTACAATAATTTCATATTACTTATCTGTACTAATTTCACTTATTTTTTACATCTATTTCATTTTTAGAATAATTATAAAATTTGTTCTCAAAATTTTCAACAAAATTCCAAAAATATAACTATTTATCTTAAAATAGCCTTCCCTAAAAATAATTAAAAATCTAAGAATTACTTATTTATTTTTCTAAATTATTAGAATTCAAATTTCTAATACCATTAAATTATATTTTTTTGTATCACAGTGTTACATTTTTAATTCCCAATTTGTTAAGAAAAAAAATATCAGTTCCCTATGTAGATTCAATTACGCAAAATCAGAAGCGAAAATAAATTTCTGGCACCTACTTTAAGTGTAAATTTAATCCTATAACTGCGAATTTATTCGTATAAGAGCCGGATTAAGATATGCAGTTCGATGACCTTGAAAGCTAAATTTTCTGAAATTTTAGAATTTCTGAAATTTCTGAAATTATCTGAATGATTCGCGAATAAAAATTCATCTTTCCTTTCTCATTTCTTCTCAATTCATAAGCGAAATTTGTTTTTTTAATATTGAATTCTAATACATTTTCGCTTTTTATTCGACGAAGTATCTTAGTTAAGTTCTTTCCTAATTAGAAATAAAATATTTTAATCAAATGTTCAAAAAGGCTATCGGCGCTGATAATTCAATGACTCAATCAAATTTTTAAAATTGCTAGTGCGTAAGTCTTTTAGCGTTCATTTATTTATTACGCACAATATGGAATTCTTAAAAAAAAGTAAATATTAATATCACTGACGTAGTATCTTCTTTAAACACCAGTTATTTAGGATACAAACAAATCTTATGGAAATGTTATGATAATTCTACTTGCAGGTGAAGTTTTTCTCTAAGCTCAAGATAAATTTGAGAATTTACCATGTGGAAAGATAAAATTTTGCATACTTACTAATGTAAAGACATACGGACGAGCCGAAGTTAAGACGGGCTGCAAACATCGTAGGGATGAGGTGGATTTTTGTAGCTGTCGCTCTCTTCGGAGCTTTCGCAGGTAAGTTCTGTTTTCTGAAAGATTATTTTTAAACTTCTGCTATTTACTACGTTTCGATTTCACTACTAAGCTTTAAAATATAAATATTGTCATACGATTTTATTTAATGTTAATTTTTACTTTGTTTATATAAATGCTGAATCTAATTTTTAACATTTTTATTTTTTACCGGAACGATTTTTTTTTAAGAAAATTTTCGCACATAAACAGAGTTTCAGATAAAAATGAGATAACTACTTTGGTTAAATAAGAGCCGGTTAAAAAAAATAAATAAAATGAAATATAAAAAAATGCAGAATTTTGAATTTGCGACGGTTAAACTTACCGAAAATAATAGCTGTTTTTGTTGAATGTTAAAAACGCGTATAGAGTCGTTAGTTTTGTCAATGCGGGAGACATGAAAAATAAGCAATGCCTCCACTCCGACTCGAATCTGGACCTCTGGAATACGCGTCGAGTGTGCTAATTGTTACACCAGGAAGGTGTGCTGGAAGAAGGGTGAAAATACCTTATATACTCCCCGTTTTAAAGGGTGTCTGGGGATTAGGGCACACAATCGCCAGATCCTGGTAGTGAAGAATCATCATTCACCAGCTTTTAGTTCGGGCGCCACTGTATTAGTTGTTTCCCCGATGCGGAAGACGTGAAAAATGCGCAATGCTCTCGCCGGAAGTCGAACCTGGACCTTTCGAATACGCGTTGAGTGTGCTAACTGTTACACTAAGTAGGAAACCATTACACCACGTAGGTAACCGTTACACCATGTAGGCTGGACGAAGAGAGGAAATACCTTATAAGTGTTACTTCATTTAGAAAAATATATTAAGAAGTACGCTTTTGTGATTGCGATCACACAGAAGGAAAATTGTGTTTAAAAGCTATAAAAATAATTGGATATAAAAAGAAACTATTTATGGAGTTTTAAAACAATATACACAGCACAGCAATGCTCACATCAATTTAGATTTTGGAAAACACTTCTGGAAAAGATAAAACTAGTTCATAGAAACAGTTGAAAGGAACTTTATCAAGAAACTGGGATTTTTTGGCGTCAGTTTTCTGAAAAACTGAAGATAATTTGTTCATAGAATAAAAGTACCTTTAAAAAGTTGAAATCTTTTACCATCTACTCCCTCTTTCCGGGAAAACTGGCCGAGAAATTTAAAGAAACTTAAAAGTATAAGGTGTTTCTCCCGCCTTCTTATCATGCCTTCGTAGTGTAGTGGTCTGCACGTTGACGCGTATTACAGAGGTCCGTGGTTCGATTCCCGGCGAAGACGTTGCTCATTTTTCATGACTCCTGCTTCCAAAAAATGCATAATATCTCTACACAGGCGCCCAAACTAAAAGGGTGTTGGATGATGATTCTCCTCACCCAGGATTTGGCGATTGGGTCCCCTAAAAACACCAATTGCCCTTTAAAAATGGGAGTATATAAGGTATTTCTCCCGCCTTCGTGACGTAGTGGATTGCTATACGTTTCGCCTGAGCATTTCAGTTTAGAGCCTTAAGAAAAATACGAAATTAGAGTAATGGTACGGTAAGTCAACAGAAAAAGACGGCGACTTTGTTGCTGTTTCGAATAACCTGACACTTGCAAGTAATACATTCGTCTGAAACGGCTAATATCCCATTGGTCATTTAGCCTTTTTATCACTGAGAACATTTCCTAAGATGCCCTTAGAGGTTCGAATCCCGTGAACGGACTGACTGCATGGCGTTTTCTGGGTTTTCCCCATGTCTAATGTGTAAACGAGCCAGTTTCTTTTAGAAAGCCCTTCACGAAGGCATCCCTCCCCTTAGACAAAGAGCCCTCGAGACTTTTACATCATCACATACACACTCTCTCTTTTTTGTTCAATTTAGCGGCAGCCATCAACCTGCCGTATGATTGAGACCAAATTTGCATCCCAAATTTCCATCCAAAAATTTAGAGGACATTTAATTTTACATAGTAAGAACGGGGTACATCTCCAGACGCCCTAGCTCTGCAGCTCCGCCCTTAGTTAATGCAAGAACCTCAGTAGATGGATCAGAGCGTCTCCGACCCTGTTCCATTATCAATGAGTCTCTCGAAAGGGCTTTTGGTTTGCCTATATTTCAAGTGGCCGCACACTGCACAGACACTATACACTTCCGAAAATCCAAGCCTGCTCAGGGATGCAAATTTGGTCTCAATCATACGGCAGGTTGATGGCTGCCGCTAAATTGAACAAAAAAGAGAGAGTGTGTATGTGATGATGTAAAAGTCTCGAGGGCTCTTTGTCTAAGGGGAGGGATGCCTTCGTGAAGGGCTTTCTAAAAGAAACTGGCTCGTTTACACATTAGACATGGGGAAAACCCAGAAAACGCCATGCAGTCAGTCCGTTCACGGGATTCGAACCTCGGACCCAACTACTATTGTTCATCGACTTTGCCGCTGGTGACCCAAAGAAGAGAGGGATTCAGTGGAATTATTTCAGAGAATTATGAATAATTCCGTTAACTAAATGAGCGCATTTATAAAAGGGTTCGATCCTTCCATTAAACAGAATCATTAAAATGAAAATATTTTGTTTTAGCCATACATATCTACCAACCTGTATACGATAAATGCTACAATTTCTTTAAACAACCGAAACTGATTTTGTTTCCAAACAGATTAACGGTCCCGACGTACCCCAAGTTAGAGGCATCGAAAGATTTACGAGTAATAGAGTCAATTATTAAAATTAATTTTTAAACAAGCAGTATATGAATAACCTGAGAAAATCTGCAAAAGACAGGACAAATGAAAATTAGGGCAGCAGTTGAAAAACGAATTGAAGAATACTTCGATTATAGGGTTTAGCTTTACGTAAATTACAGCGCTATTTTGGAAAATCTCGAAATTCTATCCTTACTTATCAAGGAAGCTGCTTCTATAATTTACGATTACAATACAATTTCCCAAATGAATTTCTCAAAATTCTATAGAAACTTTTTCTAAAAAATTTAATATAAAATTTTTCTCGCAAATTCTTCAGCAGGCTTATATTGTTGAAAAATGTGGGCGAAAACCTTATACTTCTTCAAATTCTTCAAAATTCAAAGGTTAAATTAATCATTGAAGAGTTTAAATTTTGATACCTACCTATGGATCGAATAATGCGTCGGAATTTTGAAATGATCTAGAAAAATGTTTTGGAAGTTTTGAACTAATTTGTCGATGTTTGGCTGTTTTTCAAATATTGTTCAATTCATATTTTTTTTTATTTTTCAATTTTTTGTTATTCAATTTATTTATTTTGAAATGTCCTGCAAATAATTTTTCGAAACTTTTACCTAATGTTTCGAAGTTTGGAGGTTTTCCAAATATTGTTCAATTTTTTTTAGTTATCTTCCAGTTAACGATAATGAGAATTTTTTAGATCAAAAGGTTGAATCCTTCATTATTAGCAGGACTAATATTTTAAATGGTTCCTAATAAGATTCTTAAATGGATGTAATGAAATCTCGAGCCAGTTTTCAATGAAACAATTTTACTGTGGAGGCAGACGGTCATTTTCTTTTTTTGTTCCTTTGACGTATTCTATACTATCAAAAGTAATAGTTTTAATCCAAAGGGGCAATTTGCAAAGAAGGGCTGTTTCACTATAAACGGTGAATCGCTTTTTAAATTGTTGCCACTGAATATTAGAGCCCTGTATTATATTCAAAGAAATTAATTAATGAAGAATCTGCATAAGTGGTTATATGTTTCTCGCACTGTAATAAAACAGTGGTACATGGAACCATCCAATTTTAAATAATGTACGTCTCCACCCGATTATGGATTTCTGGAAGCGCAAATTTGGAATTTGGAACTTGATTTATTACCTATTTCATATTTTATAAAACATCTATGATTTTTTCATCAAGAAACTCAATGATTTCAATGCGAGCAATGGCCTCACTGTACGGAAGAGAAAAATGTTTTCTCCAGCGCGTGAGAGTGTGTATTGGGAAATTCTAAAGATATGCTCTTTTAAATATTTTGCAATATTGTTGTAGACTTGATTTTATAGTTTAAGTGCGAATAACATGATATTTAATAAATAAAGGCAACATACAAAGCGTTTTAACAAAACGCCCCTTTGGATGTAATATAAAATCTGAAAGCCTTTGAAATCTTTTTATTGAAATCATGGCGGGTTTTCATACAAAGTGATTCTATTTCCCATATTAAAAAAAAACCTAATCTGCCTAAGGCGAGGAATGCTTGCACGGCATTCCTCGCCTTAAGCAGATAGCACAGGAATTCCTTCTAAGGGAAACTGACTCGTTCACAGGTTACACATGGGAAAAACAACGAAAACGCCCGTGCAACCAGCCCTTTCGCCTTGATTGGAGCCCAAGTCGGAACTACCAGTGTTCATCGATTTTACTGCTCGGCCGCTGGTGGGCTTTGGAATGAAACAGCTGATGCTTTAGGGAGCATGAGTCTATACACAGATTTAAATAGCAATACAGAAAGGAAATATTTCATAGAAAAAAATCTCGTTTGCGTTTGAAACAGAGATCTTTCATTTCCAAAAACACAAAGGACAAAAAGCTTTTTCTCAGGCATACTCACAGAATAAAAATTAATCAGTTTTGGAGCATATTCTAAATTAACTACAATTTTGTCCGTAGAGTGCAATTTTAAGACTACTCGGATTATGCAGAGATACTGACGAATGTTTTATTGCAAGAATTGTAAACAGAATGAGGCCAGAATTTCTCGGGAAAGATTGGTGCAACTTTAGGGGGATTTCCGCCAACTTTCATGGTTCGATACTAGCCAATTTTCACGGTGGACTGGAAAATACAAAAGCATCACTACTAACTTAATTGTATAAGCCGCGTTTTACACTTTTATTCCCTAAAGAATAAAATTAATAAAATTTAGGGGGGGGGAAGGGAAAGAGAGAGAGGAAGGAAAAGGAGTATTGAAAAGCAGTTTTTCATCTGTGATATTGTAAAACAGCAGAGATAGGATTTTGTTTGCTTTTAAATGCCTTTGATGATAATTTTGTTAAAATAATAATGTTTAAATGATGATTTTGTTTTAAAATCCCCCATTCATAAAAGTATTTCGATCCCCTCCAAATGACGGCCTCTAGCTGTCTGTAGGCGATAGCCACTACTAAGGCCGGAAGCGGTGGTCTTTTAATTATGAAAGCACTTAGTAGGTGGGCCACCTTTGTCTCCTATGAAGGTACGAACAAATTATATCCAAGCCTTGACCGGAATTCGAAGCCAGGTCCTAACCACTTTCCTGTCAGGGCGGCACTTGGATTTTCGTTTCTTTTCTTAGTCAATGAGTCTTTACAATCTTTTATGGTCAACAGCACTTGAATTTTAATTTCAGTCGAGTATGCTCAAAATTATTGCGATAGGTAAAAATTATACTTCACATTTTATTGCACTTTTTTAAAAAGGATGCAATTTGAAATGTTTTCCTTTATTTTATTACATCGATGATTCAAACACTTGAGTGAATGAGACATTTCTTTCAGGTTACGTTCAACAAAATACGCGTTTTTTTGTTCCAAGAAATATTTTATCTATATATATAGATAAAATTCTGTTTGTTTATCCTCTACTCACTCACTACTACAGCTTATCGTCACCAAACTTTCTTACAATTCTTTTTCTGGGTCCTGGAAAAGGTTGACGTCCACTTTTTTCCACAAAAAGGTAGCTAAAATCAGAGATATTAATTACGAACTCGGAAAAGCGATCATTTTCGCCCTCATTTTTCCGAGTGGCAACAGTCTCGCACGCTGGAGATGAAAATCTGCTTTATTTTGAAAAGTGTTGTTACTGCTCACTTTCAAATGGTAGAGTTTGTTAATAAAAAATTTCTAAGCTTTACTATAAGTAAAAATAGCATTCCCAAACATTAACTACATTATTCCCCATTGCAAAAATTCGTAGGAAGCCATTTCGACTATTCCCATCTTCGTTCGAATTTAATCAGCCGAAATATTAATTGAAAACTCTGAAAGCGCTCGTTTTCGCACTCATTTATCCGAGTGGCAACAGCCCTGCGCGTTGGAGATTAAAATGCTTTACTTCAAAAAAGTTGCCACTGCTCGCTTTAAAATCGTAGAGTTTCTTAATCAAAAGTGTATGATTTTTACAACATCTATATATATAAAGAAGAATGCCTGTATGAATGCGTATTTTTTTGTTCGCGTTATTGATTCCTGATAAATTTTTTGCCACATTTCATTGACTAAATTTGAATATAGGTGAAATGTTAGATGGAACTTTAAACTTTTACGACCATTTGATTAGCAAGAGGAAAATCATTAATAACTGCCTGCGATTGTTTCTGATATAATGAGAGAGAATTACCTTATTTTTTTTTTTCCATGGAAAGTATTTATGCGAGTTCCATATGGCATCTGACTGAAAAATGTATGACACTGAATCGTATTTTTTACATCGTTTATTAGAGAAAGGTTACAGGTTACCGTTTTCTCTGTTGCTAAATGCATTACTCTCAATCTAACGTAACTGGAATCGGATACTTTGCTAGTTTTGAACAAGAAATACTTTCCAAAAGAAGAGCTTTTAAGATTATTTTATAAGGTATTTCTCCCACTTTCCTAGCGTCCTTCGTGGTGTAGTGGTTCTGCACGCTGGGTCGGTATTTCAGAGGTCCGTGGTTCGATTCCTGGGGAAGGCGTTCCAAATTTTTCATCTTGCCTGCTTCCAAAAAATACCTAACTACTCAACATCTTTAAAACTAATACATGGCGGTACCCAGGGTCGGATTTAGACTTGATAAGGCCCTAAGCTATTTGAGATATGGGACCCTTTATAAGTCCAGATATACGTCAGCTCCCAATGTCAATTTTAGATTTTGTCTTCTAATAACCCAGTCACTAGCATAGCTATCGTCACCAAACTTTTTACAATTCTTTTCTGGGTCCTGGAAAAGGTCAACGTCCATCTTTTCCTTCTTTTTTTTTTTTTTTTTTTTTTTTTTTTTTTTAAAAGGTAGCTCAACTCAAAGATATGAATTCAAAACTTGGAAAAACGGTAATTTTCCCCCTCATTTTTCCGAATGGCAACAGCCTCGCAAACTGGAGATGAAAATCTGCTTTATTTCGAAAGTTGTTGCCACTGCTCGCTTTCAAATCCTAGAATTTGTTAATAAAACTTTCTAAGTTTTACGATGAAATGTAAATAGCATTGGTAAACATTTAATACATTATTCCCGATTTCAAAAATTCGTGGGAAGCCATTTCTACTATTTCGATCTTCGCACGACCTGAATCAGCAGAAATTCTAATTAAAAAACTCTGAAAGCGCTCATTTTCGCACTCACTTTTCCGAGTGGCAACACTCTAGGGTGTTGGAGATAAAAATGCTTTATTTCGAAAAGTTTTGCTACTGCTCGCTTTCAAATCGCAGAGTTTGTTAATCAAAAATTTGCAAGTTTTACAAAATTTATGCATATTAAGAAGAACGTCTGTTTGTATGTTTTTTGTGTGTTCGCGTTATTTGTTTTTGATTAATTATGATAAATTTTTTGCGGCATTTAATGGAATAAAATTGAGATATTGGTATCCGCCGAAAATATCGCGGTACAAAATATCGTGAGAGAAAAGAAAGCAAAGAGAAAACATCGTGGGAGAAAAGAAAGCAAAGAAGAAAACTTCGCAGTTCTAAAACATCGTGGTACAAAATATCGTGGTCGAAAAGAAAGCGGTTCAGTAACTTCGCAATTTAAAAACGTCGTCGTCCAAAATATCGTGGTAAAACATAAAGTACCCACAAATCATCGCGTGACTCATCGCACGCATGCGTTTTCAGGTTCTAAAAGTTGTAAACGTATTTTCGCATAATGATTTGGGAGCACAAGACGGAAAGATGGATTCTTTTAATTCTGTACTTCATATTTTTGAATGAACTAATAAATTTCTGCTGCAAAAATAAGAAGGAAACTTAAGCATATAAAATTGAAAGTGAGTAGGAAAATGAATGGGAATTTAAGCACTTAAATTTGATGAAGCCTTTATGGATGTACAGTCGTAAATTATTTCTTATATCATTTCAATGACTTCATTTTCTTCTATCGCCATTTCTTTTTCTAGCTTCTGAGGACATAGATACGGAAGACTTTCAGTGCCACATATTATACGAATACGATGCTTCTACGAAAGGAACACTCTCGAGCCCGTTCTACGGAAAGAGGCCCGTCTACCATAATGGGTTATGGTGCGAATCCAGAATAAGAGCACCAGAAGGCTACGTAAGTTTCTGCTATTTTACAAATTTTGAATCCAAAAATGATATTAAATCCTTTTGAGTCTCTTACCTCACAGCTTGCATTACATGTAGTGAACTGTACCTTGAAGTATATCATTTACTTGAATATTTGCCCCTATTTTTCTAAAAACGTTTTAACTACACTTGTAGTTAAACCAGGGTTCGATTTCAGGCGAACAGGGGCTAGGTGTTTGCGTGGTTTTCTTCATTTGAAACGTGGATAGGAGCCATTTTTCTTAGAGAAAATCCTCCACGATGACATCTCTCCTCTTAGGTGGATAGTCCTTGCATATTTTTCCATAATTAAATAAACCAAATCAAGCCACTTAAACTAAATGAATAATCTTACTAATTTCACAGATGAATTTTCTTTAATCTTAGAATTCTAAATTATAACTGATAACGATATAATATTAAACTAAAATATTAATTACTACATCAGCTAGAAATCTGCAGAATAGAAAGAGCAATCGTTTGCGGCCTATTACAACACTAATGTATATTTACAAATCAAGCTATTAAAGCTTGAAAACTACCTATCCACATAGATATTTAGAGATAGAGATAAAGCGCCTATACACGTAACTTCAGTAAATTTTCGCTCGAAATGAAGTTTTCCAAAGAAGAAATATAACATACAAAAAAATAAATAAGTAAATAAATAAAATAAGAACGTTTTCAGATTTTATATTACGTCCAAAGGGAAATTTTTCTTTTTACGTTTTGTGTGTTACCTTTATTTTTACCATAAAACTCAGTTCAACGGCAATATCACAAAATAATTTTTAAAAAATGAGCAAATCTTTAGAATTTCCGGTTCACATTGTTGCGCGCTAGTGATAAAAATGTTATTTTTTCGTACAGTTATAGCATTGCCAGCTTTGTAACCGTTGAGTTTGTTAACCAAAAATTTGTTCAAGTTTTACAAAATAAAAAATAGGTAATAAAACAAATTCCAAAGTTGCCCATATTCGGGTGGGGACGTACGTTATTCAAAATTGAATGGCTCTAGGTACCTTTGTTTTATCGCAATGCTAGAAACATACATACATTTATGCATGTCCTTCATTCTTTAATTTCTTTAGATATTATACAGGGCTGTAATGTTTGGTGGTAACAGTTTGAAAAGTGAACCGAGAATTAAAGTTTTCAACGCAAAATGCCAAAACGAAATTAAGAGCCCTTCTAGTTCGACTCCGTTTGAGCTAATTAAATTGGATCCAAGCTTACCAGGCCTAACACAACCAATTTAGAGAGCTAGTTTAAGTTGTTAAAGGGCTTTTTATAAACTTCGATTCTTGTACTGATTTAATCTTTTGCGGCACACTGTCGCCGGTCTGGACACACTTAAATTTTCCTTCTGTACGCACAGAAAAATTGAATGGAAAAGGATTTATACGTTACTCTGAACCTTCTTTATTTATAGTAGATGGCAGCTCAACACAAACCAGTCCATATATTTTATCCATGTTTAGTTTTTTAAGACCGTCATTTTTCAAAGAAATCTTCCAGATTTTTTTAGGGTATAAAAGAAATTGTTTGAAAAGAAATTTCTGTGTTAAGTTTTTGGCTGTATGCTAATCTCCTTATTCTATATTAGTTTTAAATTTTTACCTTGAAATCTTACTTAAAATCAAACGGCTAACCCCAAGTGTGCCCAGACCGGGCTCACCGATCATCTAGGATAACTGAGAGTCTGTATTCTTTGTTTCTCCGCATCTCATCGGTCAGTTCATTGACAACAATGATCGTTGCACTCTTTTCGAAGCTCTTTTCAATCAGTGTGCCACTTTGGACACACCGTCAGAATTAAAACGATAAGCGCTATCTTCGCAAAATTTTACTTGTGTACTCCTCTAGGACTAATTAGACTGCCTGTCTTTTTTTTAAAACCAAAACTCCGACTAGGGTAGCGTGCCGGAAAGGGTTAAATTCATTTGGTTTACATTTTTGGTGGAGCAGGTGTGCGCGAACGATTCAATATAAGATATAACATGTTAAGTCAAATTAAATCTTATACTCAGTGTTAGTATTGATGGTCAGATCATTCAATTTTATGTTAAATGTCACGCAAAGCTCTTCTATTTCAGAGAATTAAGCTCACTTTCAAGGACTTCGACATCGATCCTTCTAGTGGCTGTGTTCAAGATAAGCTGATAGTATACGGCAAGGATAAGGAGAGTGTTTTGGCTATGCTCTGCGGATCTCAGTTGCCTCGACCTATCCTTTCCAATGAAGGAGAGAACGAAGTTCGATTTTTATTCCAGACTGACTACATGAGGGGAGGAAGAGGTTTCCTTATAGAATACGAAAGCTCGCCTTACATGAGTGAGTTAATTCATTTGCAAATTTTATGTTCAAAAGTATGCTAAGATATACTATGATATATTTTTCTTAAATCGAATACCAACTAATAAATCATCATTCCAGTTAAATTAATACTTACAGTAAATTTTCATTAAAAGTGCCAGGATTAAAGAAATATTGCTATGTTTTTCTCTATTGACACCAGTTGTTACGGTTCTTTCTTATTCTGACAAAAGTCGTTACGTTATTTTCTTCCTTCACGTTCGTACGGGATTCGTGTGGATTTGGAGTGAATAACGACAACACTTGATAAAGTATCGAAACACACTTTATTTAGCCAATATTGATCAGGATAGCTCCAAAATCCCGTTACAGTCGTCGAAGAAGTACTATAAACACGCTGACACAATCAGCGACACAGCCTCCAGGTTATCAGGCTATCACGGTGGAAACAGCTTCACGGCAAAGCAGTACAGTACAGTTCCCGACTCTGCTTGGTCGTTCTCGGAACTCCACATACTCTCGAGACTCTCCACGCTACAACTTGCGATGTACTCGATGACACACAGAGCACGGCTCCCGACTCTTCGATTCAGTCTTTCCCGGAGCTCAACACGCTCTCTCGACGATGCACTAACCGCGATACACTAAGAGACTCTTTCGGTGCACTCGACGACCCACTCTGCACTCGCTGGCCGGCTGTCAACTCGATCGACTCCGCACGGACTGACTCGCTAGACGAGACACACTCTCAATACTACTGACTAACTGCGGACCAGCAGAGTTTATATAGCTTTCGGCTTGTGTTCGAGAACATTCTGGACTAAACCGGTAAGAATTCTTTCCAGAAGGTTTTCCATCCGCCCATGGCATATCGCCGATTTTGTCACCGAATGTCTCCAAATGGGCGATTTCTCGCCAAATGTGGCAACCTGGCAACCCTAAAACTGCTTTGCGGGGAAGCCATCTCACCGCGCCTTGACATTTCGTAAAAATATATTTCCGTTGGTATCTGACGTATCTTTTGGGAAATGGGTTTGCGCTGCTATCTCTGTATTATGTAATAAAAAAGTAAAATTTGTAAAAATAACACTGGAGGTAAAAATGTGTGAGTTTCTGCTATGTCTAGAAGCTTATCTCAGGGACCTGAAAGCGCTGTTATACTGCACAGTTAAGTTATCGGCTTATGTCCGAAGCAAATGACCAATCCAAAAGGAAGCTAAAATAATCTTTTTATTTAACTCTTTAAATGACAGAAGGCGCTACTTGTGTATAAATGGACTTCAGCCACTTCCGGGTATTTAAAGTAAAATAAGGTAGAGTTAAATTCAAATTTATGTTAAGTTGTAACGTAATTTATTAAACGTCAAATTTAGGTAACGTAGTTCGACGATAGTACGTAGCTGCAACGCTCTTAGGAGTTAGGAGTAGTACTTGAAGGAAGTTCTATTTACTACGAAAAAGAGGGTAATTAGGAGTCCTTAGTGGCGCGCATTTGCCTTTTAGTTACTTCCATTTGCGAATCTATGACGCTCGGCCCTATTGTACGCATCGCCGATTAGCTTAATTCAAGGGCAAACTACGTTAGATATCTGTGTCTAGCTTCGGCTAAGCCTATTTTAGTTAGTATTAGTTTATTTTCGGTTCTTCTTATACTGATTTAAAAGCCCGAGTAAAGGCTTTCTTGTAAGCCTGAGAAGGGGCCATCTGTTACCCTTTCTGTGAGTGAATGAAAGAGTATTTTAACCCTTCTCGAATCTACTTTGTTATTGCTTAAACTCAGCGATAATTCGCTACACTGTTCACTAGGTTCTTCGACATTTCATCAAAGAAGAGAGGGACATTATAAGTCAAATGTCTTCCATTTTGTTTCGATGGCCTTTTGTCACCCTTCCGGTGACTTCACGATTGCGCTGTCACAGAACTTCTGGTCTTCATCTGCAAAGAACGCAACCAAGGGAGATTTGAGGTCATCGTTATTACTGAACGTTTTACCATTTAAGAAGTTTTGTAAACTTCGAAATGAATGATAATCCGACGGCACAAGTTTGGGGCGATATTGCGGATGCTACATCACTTTCCTAGCCAACCTCCAATAATGTGGTGCATGTTGCTAAAAATGTGGGAAGCCTCGTATTTGTCGGGGTGGAATACGATTTCTTTACCATTCTGGCCTTTTTCTCTTTTATTGCTTTTTCCAGTTTCATAAGCTGCTAACAATAAATATCAGAGACGATCGTTGGGTTGCTTGGAAGCAGATCAAAACACACCACATCAAACTGACACCATTCTCTATTTCTGATGCAATCGGATACATTCAGCAAGAGAAGAAGAGGAAGAATGACCTTGCTTGTTTGCATTAGCTGTACATAAGTCAAATGATCTCTGAGGTCATCTGCATTGTTTGTTTACAAAAGGTATCCGTAAGTCACGTGATCAGTGAGGTCATCAGAATGTATCTCATTTAGATTTCGCTAGGATTTCTAATGTTTGGACCATGATCTTTTTCAATTAATATTATTGTAGACGATCCATTTTTCAACACCAGTGATAATTCGTTTCAAAAACAGATCAACTGCATTACGTTTGAAATGCGAATTGCAAATAATGATTCGTTGTGCTATGTGAATTTGTTTCAGTTCATGGAAAACCCACAAATATCGATTTCCTTTACAAGACATCTTAAGTAATTCTGAATTGTTGCGTGTGATACATGTAATCTTTTTTAAATCTCTCGCACAGTTATATGACACCACCATTCAATTATGCTTTGAATTTTGTCATTATGAACCCTAGACGGTTGCTAGAACGTTGGTCTTTTTCAAGTGGAAAATCTGAAGAACGAAGCCTTTTTAACCAATTTTTGATACATGCGTTTTGTTGTTGCTAATCTCTCCATGTCTAGGACTACCAGGCGAAGTCTGCGAGTCCATTCACCTTCAGAAAATCGAAAACTAGCTTAAGAGACTTATACAGATCCTCAAGAGACAACTCCAGGCACTCAAGGACATATGCCGATGATGCCGGTGCATTTTGACATTTAGAACAAATTGGATGCATCTTTGAGACCTCTCTCAAAAGTAAGTCCCTTCAGGTGTCTACTGAAAGAATCGGGAAAGTGTTGTCTGAACACATCTGTCGCAATCAATAGCAAGAGATCTTCCAGGACAATCAGCATGATACATGGGATGATTCGGGGAAACGAGCCAAATTCGCCTGTCTGCATGTCTTCTAATGGAATAATTTCCTGCCTTAACAAAAATAAAAAGAGTAAAATGTGTGGAAAGCATTTATCTTTGCCCCCCATAATAAAATTGACCGTAAACTAGCAGTCGTAAATAAAAATGCACAAAATTCGTTCTTATAGCAGTTTAAAAGTGTCAGCTGCGAAATTCTCAGAAGAAAAAAATTAAGATTGCCAGAAGAATAACAAAACAAATGCTGCTTATTTGTGCAAATCAGAATTCCTTTCTTACTGACACAAAATTAATTTGAATTTTTCCTTTGTGCTCCTATTATTATTGTTTACGTATGTTTTGATAAATATTCAGTAAATGAAATTTGAATTTTTTATTTAGTTATTTTTTTGGGCTTTCTTTTGCTGTAAACGTTTTTAAATTTTGTTAAAAAATTATGTTCTCATCCGTCAGCTCCTTTCATATCGAGAATTCGGTCCCATACAATTTGGGTAAGAGATTACTTGAAATCTGATTTATCAACTGATCTAAATATTTTCCTGATTTTGGCAGAAGCGAAATTAATTTGTGGTGACAAACAGGTGCTGTACAATAGCTGATTTGTTTGTTTCCTTTTTTTTTCCAAACATAATATTCATGCTCCCTGATGTGGAATGTTAAGACTTTTTTTTTTTCATTTATTTAAAGCCTCATTGAGAAGAAATCTGTAAGTCTGATAAGAATTCATATGAGAAATATAATTTTTTTAAAAACAGAACTGTGTAATTTTATTAGCATAAAAAATTACAGGAATGCTAAACTTTTGTAAATTACGCCCTATTTTGTAATTATTAATTAAAAATCAAAATTTTTGCTATACTCAAAGGAATATACAGGGTGTTTATAAAGTCCCAGACCCATTTTGATGTTTAATAACTCGTAACATAATAAAAATAGATTAAAATTAATAACATAAATGGTTAGATAGACTCAAAAGGTATCATGACCCTTGCCAATGAACTTCCACGTGTGCCCCCTTCGTCGCACGGAGAATATCAAGTCGATATTCAATTTCACGCCAGGTACGATATTTACAAAAGTAAAGATATTCAAGCCTGAAAAGGAAAATATATAAGTTATTCCAATCCATAAATGCCATAAGTTTGTTTATATCTTCATTATTTTATGAGTTATTAAAGATCAAAATGGGTCCGGGACTTTATAAACACCCTTTATATTCTCTCCCCTTAATACTGTTGTACATTCATTCATCTATATAATATTTCTCGCTAGCCTTGTAATATTTATCTAATTTTTATCATTGTTATTAGTTTAAATTTAAAAATACATTACGAAATTTTAATTTAAGAATATTATATATTTTCGTGCTCTGATTATTACACGCACTTTACTGCATCTGCCCACACGCACTTTATTGCATCTGCCAGAACTCTGTGATTCCGGCTATTCTGAATGTAAAAACCGCAACTGTTACGATCCCAGAAAGAAATGCGACGGAGTGGATGATTGTGGAGATGGAACTGACGAGGAAGATTGTGGTAAGTTGAAAATAGCCCCTCTTATTCGTAGTTCATAATAATAACTAAATCAAAAATATTCTTGAAAACAAGTATTTGTATATAGCATTGATATATTGTTTGGCCTGTTACAAAATTTTCTTCACTTTTCTTAGGTTAATTGAATTTGACATGCTGTGACGTTCAGTTTTTTGATTTTCAGCTGTTCATATATCGTAATGTATTATTTAAAATAATTGTTAAATAATCGAGTCCGTTTTTCATGTATCGAAAGCGCTAGGATATGAATTACATTTATATATAAAGCATTGTTCTAATACAGTATTTTGACACAAAATCGGACTTTTTTTGAAATGACATGACATGTTTTTTCCATATTTCGATTTTACGACTCAAATCATGCCAAACTGCCAAGTTTTGTAAAAATCGCACGAGTAGTTTTAAAAAAATTAGCTCTCAAAATTGTAACTCCTCAATGTTGATTGAATTTGGTACATATTTGTACATCTCTCTCTTTTTTTTTTAATTAAACTTATTTGATTTTCCCCTTCGCATTTCGAAATTTCGGTTCATTCAAAATAAAATTCGCTCATTTTTATGATTTATTTTTTAAATACGTATTTTTAAGTAATTCTTACAAGTTTTTCGAAAAAAATTTTGAATTATTGCTGTTATAATATATGGCGTGTTGCGGTGCTAAATGTAAAAAAGAAATAGAATTAAGTGTAGTGAATTAGAATTATTGAGCACCAAAAATAGTCACAAGGCGTTTTTTGAATTAAAGGATTAGCAAATGTAAATCAAATGACTTGCTTACTTAGTAAATCGCGTTGTGTAGCAATAACCCATAAATACTTACTAACGTGCAGATCAAAATGTGTGATCTAGAAGAAAATATGAAATCAAAGTACTACTTACCCCAAAGTATGACAACTGTATGTGACCAAATCAATTATATTTTATTCTTCATCTTTGATATTGAAATAAGCATTAATATAAATAAAATTATCAACACGACAGACGAATAAATTTGAACATCAAGCAAGAGTGATGCGCATCACGAGAATTAACGTTGCACTCAGAATAAAGTGAATCCTTCTTCATCAGCTCAAAACAAAGTCTTGGTGTAAAAGGAACAATCAAATTTTGATGGCAGTCACTAAGCGTATTTGATAATCATGGTATTTCTGCTTTTCTTCTTTAATCAGAAGTTTCATATCAGAAACGGTGCTCGCGAAGAGTTCTCGAAGGAAAAAGAAGCTGAACAAAAATTATTTTCTGCAACAATGTACAGGAAACAGGATTAGTTATTTTCTTGAATCTTGAACGTAAAAATCTAACTAAAATGGATTTTCATGTACAGCAAACAGCATTGAAGGAACAGCAAAGAGAAGCAGGAAAATGGCACATCGCATCTGCCAGGGAGAGAGACCGAAGCCCGTCCTACACCCTCGAACGCCTGCAGCAGAAGAGCGAGAAACCCGTTGTTGCAATCTTTTCGTTGTTGTCTTTGAGAGGTTGCGGATAGCACACCTGACGCTGAATAATGTGGAGGCTTGCCTGCACAATAGCCTATAATTTTAACATCATCTTAAAGTATGTTATATCTAGGCACCCAGCGAAAAATTAGTTTTTTATTCAAAATTTTCTAGGTAACATAATTTATATTTGGCGAGTTTTGAAATTTGGCAATTTGTTATAACGATGTAACGTAATGTGGTTAACGCACTT